ACACTCTAGAATCAAACCTGTATCATACCCAGTGGGAACTGGGTCTGGTCACGGATGGCCCCCCTACTCTCACCCCACCATCCCTAAAGGTTCGGTGTCTCGCCGCTTCTCAGGCATAGACAGGTGGGGGATACATCTGGTCGGAGTGGGCTGTGGTTCCGTGTGGCCTCTAGCCCTTGCTCCCAGCAGGTCGCCACTGGTCCTGTCCATCCCAACTGTGGCTTCGCCCATGTTCCTCAGAGCAACAGAGAACCGGTGGGGCCTCCTGGCAGACTTTTCTGCCCTCACGCTCCGGCACCAAGGGGTTCTCCAAGAGATTCTGGGGCCTTTCCATTTCCCAGAGTTTCATTCTGAAACAAAGCATGGATGCCCTGTGCTCTGGGATCCCCTGGAACTGTGGAGTTTCTGTATGTGGACACACATGCGCACACACGCACGCATGCACATGCAAACACACAGGCGCAGAGCTTCTTCTCAGGGACTTTCCAGACTCTTTGTTTTTAGTTGGGAGTGGGGTGGGGATGCTGAGGGTTTAGGGGGTACTTTCTCTTTTACTAAACCGTCTTCCAAAACTTTGTGTTTATGGTATAAATTTTAGGTTCCCAGTCCTTAAAAGTTTAAGTTTTAATTTTTTTTTTTAATTAAGAAAAAATTGTGTTCTTGAGGCTCACAAGGCTTGTCTCTGCTTTTCTTATGAATCATCCCTCCCCTGGGGGTCATAAATGCTGATGCCTGAAGAGGGGGAGGGCAGAGCATACCAGGAAATGGTGAGAGAGGGAGGGAAACCCCATTTACTATGTCAAAGCTATGAAACCAGCTATAAATCAGAAGCTTCGTTTGAAGGTTTTAGAAATTCCAGGTTGCAGAAGACTAAGGGTCCAGGCTACATGTTCTCGGTTTGTAGAGCTCTGAGGGATAGCAAATCATTGGTTTCAAGAGAGGGCACAGAGCACTGAGGACCAGGCAGGGGTTCTTCTGATCTGGGATTGCACTTAGCGGACTCAAGGCTAGTCAGTTTTCACATGCAGATCAGCAAATTGAGCCCGGCTTTGAGTTAAGAACCAGCCACTTCCCTGTGAACTTTTAATATTTTTTTATTTAAAATTTTTATTGCTTCCTTTGAGTAAGCTGCTTCGTGGCTGGGGTTCTTATCTGACTCATTTTATAGAATAATCCTATAATTGAGGGTATGCACCAAATGGCCTAAGAAACCCTGTGGAAAAACCACTCCCTGCTCCTCATGCTGGAAGCCATGTATGTAAGGGGTTACTCAGACTTCTCGAATCCTGCTTCAGATGGCTACGAGTTCCTGGAAATCCTGAAACAGGTTGCCAGGGACAACACCGACAACCCTGACCTGAGCATCGTGTGGATCGACCCGGATGACTTTCCTCTGGTGAGTGTGTGTTCAGTGTGAGACCCGGAAACATGACGGAGGGTGTGAAATAGGAGAAGCATGTGCAGAAACACAGTGACCACCCCTATCCGGTGTGGAAGACCGTGGCAACATTGTGGGGCAGCATAGAGTGGTCTGGTGTTGCCACGGTTAGACCCACCATTCTCATTCCGTGGAGACCCGGGATCTGAGGCGCCCACACAAGTCAGCTGGGTGATATCCTTCTGCTAGCACTTCCATTTCTGTCCCTTGCCCCACTACCTCCCTTGCTACAGCCTCTTTCATGTTCTGGGAGGGGACTGTCATTCTCAGGCAACCTGAGTTGGTAAGTAATAAAAATCACACTTGACCATTTTGCACAGAGTGAAGAACTTCATGGAGGGAAGGAGTAACCTCTCGGAGGGCAGAGATCCTGTCTCATTCATTGTGTTCTCCCAGGTCCTAGCATGCTGAATGTGTAAGAAACTTAAAGTCCAAACTCTTGCTAGTGCCAGCGATCAATGGCCAGAAAGCCTTGATGATATACTTAATTTTAAAGAGAATAAACAGAATTTGTATGATACAGGAGCCCAGTGGTGAGACAATGGATGTAGCTAATAGACTGCGTGCCTGGAACTATAGTAAATTCTTCATAGGCACCATCTCTCGAACCCTCCCATCAAACCTGTGAAGTAGGGACTGTCAGAATCCCTATCTGACAAATAAAACAATAACGGCTGTCAAGGTTAAAGCTACTAAGTGGGAGATATGATATCCCGATCCAGGTCTGTCTGATGCCAAAGATTTGTCTACTAGTCAGTCAATAGACTTTAGCCTGAGCTAACTGCTGGTAATCAGTACAAGTTTAGTTATCATTTGGTTATAAATGATAACTTCTCTTCTTCCGGGAATTCGCATTTGTTGCATAGGACCTGACTGATCATATCATGATTAAATAGTCAAAATTGAGGGAGTTTAATGATTTCAGGGGTCCTGAAATCCAATCCTATATACAGAATAAGTCAGAGGCAGAGACTTTCATGACATCTGAAGCCAATGTCGTAATTCTGGGTAATCATAACAAAGTCATGGCCTCGTAAGACCCTAAATACTATAACTTTTTTTTTTTTTAAGATGTTATTTATTTGAGAGAGAGTGCATGAACAAGGGTAGGGGCAGAAGGACAGGGAGAAGCAGGCTCCCTGCTGAGCAAGGAGCCCAATGCAGGACTCCATCCCAGGACCCTGGGATCATGACCTGAGCCGAAGGCAGATGCTTAACCGACTGAGCCACCCAGACGCCCCTACTATAACTTTTTAGTTAGCCTCTGCCTGGCTGTATTTTCATCTGGACTGTTTTGTTATGCAAGCTTGCAGATGGTCTGCAGTTGTCCCAATCTGTTCTATTTGTTTGTTTGCCTTGGTTTTTACAAAAGAGAAATCTTCAGACTGTCCGGATTTCCAGGTTCCTACTATCTCCGGTCCCCACCAGGCCATATATTTACCTTGGAGACCTTCTGCCACTGAACATTTGCATTGCCTTAGCCCCATGGCCCCTGACTCCTTTAGTCCCATCCCAGTCAGAGATTAGTCCCTGTGGATCCCAAGCCTGGTGAACTGGCGGGGGGGGGAAAACCCCTCTATTTGCATGACACTTCACAGCCTTCTCAGGCACCTCGTGGATCCCAGTGGCGCAGGGTAAGGGATTTTTAAATGGGACATTGAAAGAGAAGTGGAGGAAGATGGCTCTCTCACCACATATTAACTATGAAATTCCCAAACAGTCATTTGGGAACCGACTTTGGACCATCTCTATAATATTCTTCCTTACAGCTGTAGAAGCTTTTACATTACATGTTTTCATAGTTGGTGTTATGAACTCCTTTTTCCATACTTATCAAGTGCTTGAGGGCTGAGGCCAAGCCTTCAGTTTCTGAAGTGCCCACAGCTGTTTTGAAGAACTTTAAGCAATGGTGACCGATGATGGGATGGCAGGTGGGTCCAGCCACAAAACGTGGCTTTGACCGGGAATGCCCTCTGCCTGCTGTCTGACCTTATTTTTCGTTGCTTCAGCTCGTTGCCTATTGGGAGAAGACTTTCAAGATTGATCTATTCAAGCCACAGATTGGGGTGGTGAATGTGACAGATGTGAGTATACCCCATGAATGCTTGCTCACCAGTCACCCTCAGCTTGTCCTGTTTTCTGCCATGCAGCCCAGACTGTGATACCATGTATAGGAGTCTAGCCTCCCCTGAAATGAGCAGGACCCTCGGCCCTGCCCAAGCTCAGGAAACTTGCCAGTGTGGCCCCAGCCTAGTCTCTGAGCCAGTCCCAATCCATGGCTTCAGGATTGTCTTCCATGGGCACTTCCTGGGAAAGGCATGGGCATGTTTCCTTGCTTATGGGGCCAGCCCGTCCCGTTTTATTATCTGGAACTTTCCATCCAAGTAAACTGTCCTGTATTTTCTCCTAAAGCCCAACAACAAATTCTTTTTTACACAAAAGAACCCACACGGGAAGCTGCTATTGCACAGTGGGTGACTGGGGGCGGGGGGATGCTGCCGGGGAGGGGGCAGGAGGAAGATCATGAAGGAGGAGGAGGGGCCCCTCCTCACCGTGCAGACACCCTTGAACTGAGTGAGGGTGGGAAAAGCCGGTGTGGTGGACCGGCAGAGCATGAGGAATTTTAGACCTTGCTCTCTACAGCTGATACAACTCCACCGTAACAAAACAGAAGAGGAGACAGATACAACAGCTAATGAGCAAATACCGGACAGAAAGAGATGGTCCCAGAGAAGTCATTAGAGCCATAATTAATTGTGGTGGAAATGCTTGCGAATGGGGCCGGTTAGCAACGTCCTGTTATCCTGTTGGTAGGCCTTCAGTCCCCTGGGGAATTCTACATTTATTTATTCTGTACACTGCATTTTAAACTAATAATAATAATTAATACTTTTTAAAATTTACTCCAGTTAAAACATTTGTAAATAAAACAGTAGACTCTAAGGTGAAAAGCAAAAGTATTTCCCACTGCCCTGATCCCTTTTCTAGTCGCATTCCCAGAGGGAATCATTGGTGATAGTTTCATGGCTGTCCTACCAGAATGTCATACACATGTTTGTTGTTATTATATAGGTATCTTGTAGATACGCTCATGAAACCAGAAGGAAAAAAAACAGTGCAAATATAGTTATGATTCACAATAATACTTGATTTCAGTACCCCTGGGAACTGCCCCAATCCTGGGCTACCTCCCACCTCCCAGCACTTTCCACAGTATCAACCTAATGGTGGGGATCAGGAGGGCAGGCAGGTTAGGGTGGGGAGGGTCTCTTCCAGGCAGTGCTTTGATCTGGAGGAACTAATCCAGGGTGGGGAGGCAAGGATGAAGTTTGGGGTGGGTGGTAGGGGAGGTGGCATCTCGGGTTGGAGCAGCTGCTAGGCCTAGTGTGCTGGGCCTGGCCCATTCCCCTGCCAACCCTCCACAGCCTTGCCTCCGTACCCACTCTCCTTCCCCAGAGACCTCTGCGGGAAAATTACACACACACACACACACACACACACAATGGAATACACGTTTCCCTTGACATTGCACAAGCAGGCTGCTACAGATAGCATTCTGCATTGAGGCATTCCCATGAAACAGTGTGCACATGTTCCTGATGCCTGGGCCCGGCTGCTTGGAACCCTCTGGTCTGGCTGGTCCTTCCGGTACTCACTCACTCGGTCCCTCGCTGCAGGCTGACAGTGTCTGGATGGAGATCCCTGATGATGATGACCTGCCCACAGTCGAGGAGCTGGAGGACTGGATCGAGGATGTGCTTTCTGGAAAGATAAACACTGAAGATGATGACAATGAAGATGGGGATGACGGGGATGACGATGAGGATGATGATGACGATGACGATGGCGATAATTCTGACGAAGAGTCTAATGACGACAGCGATGATGATGATGAGTAGCCCTGACTCCGAATGGTGGATGAAAGCACAATCACAGCGGCCCACTACCATGCAGACAGCACTGGGGGGAGGGGGGGGGCCAGCAGCCCCGGCCCACTCCCATCAGCTCCTTCCCCTTTCCCATCCCTTTTCCCATCCCTTCTCATCGGGAGCTGTATCATTCAGCAAATGCCTCTAAACCCAGTAATCCCACTCAGCAAGGACAATCAGAGAATTATTCCCATGTGGACTGTCTTGATCGTCTCAGAAAAGCTCTCATTCTTTGCCAGACCATCAGTGGTCATGGCAGTGCCGGAATCTGGTGGTCTGGGGACAATAATCCCCTGAAACCTCGACTCAAGTTTACTTGTTGTCTTCGATGTGACCGTAACAGAATTGATAGCTGGCAAACTCAAAGCATAGAGTGACCTTACAGTCAGAGCCCAGGGAGACCGAAGATTAATTCATTTAGTCCCCGGGCCTAGAACATCAGTGACAATCCCCCCTTAAGGCAAGAGGTTCCCTCTTAGGAAAGGCTCAGTCTTAGAAACAAGTTTCTAAATCAGGTTCTCTTGGCTCTATTAAACTTATTATTTCAAGTGTATGTCACACCATTATGAACTCAGATCCAAGTACTTGGACAGCTATTCGGGAGGCCTTGAAACCCATGCGTACAGATGTAACAATCATTTCTAGGACATTAGGATATGGGATGGGAGGTTGATTTGCTTTCTGAACTTCCCTTTACTGACAAGTCTCACATTATACGCAAGGGAGTGGGGGGAACTGGAAGGATTAAAGGTTTTTAATTTTTTCTGCTGGGTTCATGTCCCTGATTGAGTCAGTTGGCTTCCTAGCCTGAGCTGGGATCTGGATACACTTTTCTGTTGCTGCTAGTGAGCCCTCCCATTGGGAGTGAAAGTTGGTTTATCCAGAGGTCAGTCAATGCTCCATTTGTCAGCCCTCCCACACTTGAGCAGGACAATAGCTAGAGTTCATAACGGTGCCCTGAGGCACTGAGAAAATCCCAAAGTGCCTTCCAAACTATCTAGAAGTTACATTGTGCTCGGTAGTTTTAGCATTAAGTTTGCATTATCATGTTCTAATTTATTTTCTCAATCTTTTAACACATGTGTAAGACACTGCAAATTCTTCGGAAATAGAGTAATCCTTTTATGGAATAGTAGCCAACTAATTCTGTCATTAAACTTATACTTTGAAAATATGGAGACTCTCTTAAAAATCCTCTCTCGGTTTTTCCGATCCTGCTCATTCTCTCTTGGTTCCTGTCCTACCTCTCTGTTCCTTCCCTGTTTTCCTTTCTGGCCCCTCTTCCTCTGCCTGCCCTTTAAATGATAGTGTTTCACAGTATCTCTCTACTTTAACATTCTTCCAAGGTGCTATCATCCATACCCATCAGCTACCACTTGTGTGCTAATGACCTCCAAGTCTGGGTCTCTAACCTTGACCACTCTCTTAGTTTTAGATCCACTCATTCATCTTGGTTTGGAGGTTGCACAAGCAATTCAAACAACAGAGCAAAACCCCAACTCATTACCTTCTCCCCTAAATTCTCCTTCTCTTCATGGTGTCCCAGATTGGAAAAGTGATATCACCACGTATCCAATTGTCTATGTGATCCGAAGGGGCCCTCTTCCCCTCTGCAACCATGGCATTTTGCACATACCCCCAACCGTGGAAATTTTCCTTTAAATTGTAGTACATGTTTACCTGTCTGTCCTTTCGCTAAACTGTAGGCTTCTTGGAGGCAAGGGATTTATTTATCTTTGTATCCTCAGCAGCTAGCACTTTGTCCAGCACAAAGGAGATATTCATTTATTGAATTGATGGGTGAATAATTGATTAACCAGAATACCTATAATTCCCCAGCACTGTTGGATAACAATGCTTACGAGGCGTCCTTATTTTTATTTCTCCCCCTCACAAAGCCAGGCAGACACTTCCCAAGCTGGACTATGCTGCCATCTAGCCAGATCCAACCACACCTCTAATAAGCTCTTGGGAGGTACATTTTCAAAGCAATCTTTGAAGCCAAGGAATGTGGTCTGTCATGAAAGTGGTCTATTCTCCAGCCCAGGAAAACTCCCTTGTTCCTGGAGGCCTGAGTAATACGCATCAAGTTAAATCATGTTGTGGTACTCCCATGTCAGAAGCACTGAGTGGTAAGCTAGCTAGTACTATCTGTGAGTAGCAGTGCTGTTTAGTCATTGGTCTAAACCTTTTTAAGCTGGTATTTATTGAATGTTTGGCATGTGCCTGGAGCACTAGGCTATGTGCTTTACATGTATTATGTCATTTAATCCTTACAAAGCTCTTATGAAGTAAGTCTAGTTATTATCCCCATTTTACAGATGAGGAGACTAAGATGCAGAGGGCCCAAGTAATTTTCCCAGGGTCACACAAACACTTTAAAGGAGTATAAGTGTAACCCCATTTTTATACTAAATCAAGGATTTAGATGAAATTAAATTCCTTAATCAATCAAAGGATTCCGTTTCTTTTCCTCAGATAGTGTCCTGAGATGGACTCAAGTGAATTTCCCATAATCCTTTTCACGGCTTACGCCAAGATACTCTTTCTCTTTTCCTTCTGGAGGGCATAATCACCTTATCCCGCATTGGAAATGGAGGCTAATTAGAACTGCAAGGTCTGGCCATCCTGTCGGGAAAAAAAGAAAACAAAAAACATTGTGTTATCAAGAATTTACAATCATGGGGTGCTTGGATGGCTCAGATGGTTAAGCATCTGCCTTCAGCTCAGGTCACGATCCCAGGGTCCCGGGATCGAGCCCCGCATTGGGCTCCCTGCTCAGTGGGGAGTCTGCTTCTCCCTCTCCTTCTATTGTTCCCCCTGCTTGTGCTCTCTCGCTCTGTCAAATAAATACATAAAAATCTTTTAAAAAATGCACAATCATTTTCGGTGTATTTTTAAAAAGATTTCATTTATTTATTTGTTGGTTTGAGAGGGGGGAGGAGGAGAGGGAAAGGGAGAAGCAGATGCCTAGCTGAGCATGGAGCCCGATGTGGGGCCCGATCCCAGGACCCTGAGATCACAACCTGAGCCAAAACCAAGAGTCAGATGCCCAACTGACTGGGCTACCGAGGGGCCCCCGTCAGTGTATTTTTAAAAAATAACATCTCATAACTAGAAACAAGCTTGTCTTTTCCATAATAAGGCTGTGTACTGTCTAGGCCCTACTTCCTATAATGCAAGAGGCTTACACTGGTATTAATGTCACTTGTCATAGATCATTACTAAGTATCTTTTGATCAACAATCTCTGATACATGCAGACACACACACACACATGCTTCCTAAGTGCAGATGGGTCCTGGGGCTCTGCCCTCCATCTCACCCAGCCCATGGTTACCAACATCATCTGTCTCTAGCCAGGCTCTCCTGTTTCCAAAGCCCTCACCCCAACTGTCTTTCCTGGACAGCCTCATCTGGAGTTCCCATAGGGACCTCGGATTAACATGGCTTTGGGGTTTAAAGATCTCCCCAAAATTAGGTCAAGAAGTCAGCAGTGTAACATTAATAATTAATAATAATAATTAATAATCTCCATTATCATAGAAAAACAGCAATTTGGAGACTAGAGATGAGGAAAATGGGCTTCCCAGCTTCCTACCTCCAACTGCAGGCCACCCAAGGGAATCAGACTTGTAGAGCGGACCCAGGCCCTTGCTGCTCAGTGGGCAAGGATGGAGGGGAGGAGAACAAAACCAGACCTTCAATAATCACTTCACCCCAAGAACTTCACCCCAAGAAACATGGACAAAGGGCTGTTGTCCACTAACCAGGTCACTCACTCTATCTCTGGATGGGAGTAAGGTTTAGGCAAAAGGCCAGCAGCGGTCAGGGAAAGATCCTTCTTCATAGAAGCGGAGGAGCAGGGAAGAGACATCCCCCTCTGACAATGCTCAAGCCGGAAGCCTTAGAGCCATTCCACTGTGTCTTGCTTCTGCACTGAATAGGGAGCAGGTGCCGTGCTCCCCTCTGCGCCCACCTTTCCTGTGTAACTGAGGCTTTATGGTCTCTCACCCGGCTTGCCGCAAGGTTCCAACTGCTCTCCCATCTCCCATCCAGCCTGCAGGCTGCAATCAAGTGATCTTTCTAAAATGAGAAGCTGATCATGTCACACACATGCTTAAAATTCTTCAAGGGTTCTCTATTCCCAGTAGGTGTTAAAAAAATTTTTTTTTAAGACAAAGAGGCCAAAGAGTGAGCTATGAATGGAAAGGTTGTTGACTGCCGAATGCAGAGCTGGGCCGTGTGGTGGGAGGTTGGGGAGGAGAAACAATGGGATAGGTCTTGTAAAACCAAAAGTCCTTGAAGTGTCTCTCCTCCCTGTGACGAAAGCGCAGTCTGAGTGGGGCTGATGCTGATGCTGGCGATGCTGGGGCTCTTGGATTAGGAAAGCATCGGACTGAATGGGGCAATTTCCGCTGCGTACGTGGAGGATCTGTCTTGGAATTGGGGCGTCCACATGCCTCATCTGGGATTATAGCACCCAGTTGTTATTTTAGCAGAAGTTGGGTCAGCACCCCGGCACCAGGCTAGGGGGTCAGGCGTAGCATGTAATTGCTAAAAGCCAATTTTCTTCGCAGGGCACTCAAGGTCTGTGTGAGCTTTTTGTCCACCTTACCAGCCTCATCTCTCATAACGCCTCCCAGCCACCTGCCTCCTCTACTCTTAGAACCAGAAGTCAGTAGAAGCTGCCTGGCTGCTTAACAACACCAAGCCTTGGCTCATGCTATTCCATCTACTAGAATGTCTCTCCTTTCCCACCTGTGCCTGCCTGGCAAACTCCCAACTATATTACCTGAAGTGTGAAGTAAGGTACATTCTGTGACTGTTCTAGTCATTCCCCAGGGGAATTGGCTACCTTACCCGCTGAGCCCTCACTGTACTGTGTACAAAGCTCTCTTACAGAAATTACAATTTATCACACATGTACATCTTCGTCCCCCTATTATTCTGAAAGCAAGCTTAGGGAAAAGACTTCAGCGGATTCTGATCTATCCTCAGTGCCTAAATTCTGATAGGTTCTTAGTAAACTTGTTTGACTAAGTACTCTCTAAGCCCTATGTAAAGCAAATTGAACAGTGATTAGTACCATTAAGAATGTGCTAGTGATTATCAAAAACTATTAGTACCATTAAAAATATGCTAGTGATTATCAAAAGTC